TTGTTCATTCTTTTTATTACTACTTTTAAAATTTATAATTATAAATAATATGTGACCATATCTGCGATCTCCAACTCACCGGGAGTCTCCAGTGAGCATTTTCCATTTACTTATTTTACCGTGTCGTGACTTACTTATAATTAATCTAATTCAATGAAGCTTCATCGGCAGTGTGTGCCTGTTGGAAGATGTTTCATTAATTGTTACCATATTTATAAATAATCTCAAGTATATAAGATGTAAAGTGAATTAAGCTTTTATATTATAATTGTCACTTCGATAACAATTTTTAAACTTCAACTGAGTGATTATTTGATTCTAATCCAATCTAATACAGAGTGTTTTATTTTCAAAGTCCACAAATTAAGACAAAATATATCAATTAATACAGAGTGTTTTATTTTCAAAGTGCTCTTAATCATCTCGGACTCATTACCTATAAAATTGAATTTGTGGTGTTTAATGGTCCGCAGATCAAAATATATCTGTCTCTGTATCAGAGGTAGAGCCAGAAAATCAATTAATGGGGGCACAATGTAAAACAAATAAAATAATAATAATAATAATAAACATGAAACATATAGATTCTTTAATTAAGAGGGAAACAAGAAAAATATTATTACAAATTAATATGCCAATCAATAAGTATTGTAGGAAAAATAAATGCTTGACAAATCATTGTGCACATATGACTTCAAGTATGGAAATTATTATTATTTTTATAAATAATAAAAAAAAAAAAGAAGGAAAAAAATCTTAGATTTAACATATTCAAATTTAGGTTTCTTACAAAAAAAAATTACAGTACTTAAATAGACTTATCCAAAAAGAATGTACTAATTCAAATAGCATAATAATATTAAAACATTAAGAGATGATTTCAGAAAGAAAATTTTGTTGGCGACTGAAATTCAAATTTTCTTTAAGGCATCCAGTGCCTCTTCACTTCGGCTCTCAAGTTAATGGCTTGATGTGTGGCCCAGCGATGCCCCAATAATTGTGTAGAGCCTACCAGAGCATCCGCAGCGGACTTTGAAAGCCTATTTATGCGAGCCAAATGGCCCAAATGCACCCCAACGGTCTGGCACTAATTGGGCGAGCCCACATGAGCTCGCGGACTAACTCGCAAAATACAGTGAGTCAGAGCCCATCGGGATATATTTAATTTTTTGTTTTTTCCTTTGCCAAAACAATGTCGTTTTGGGCGAGGCATTTTTTTTTCTTTTTAAGTTCTGCGAAGGTCAGGAGCAATGATTAAGGCACTGTTTGCAGCATGGTTTTTAAAAAAAAAAAAAAAAAATTCAAAAATAAGTTATTTTGAGCTCTTTTTTTTTTTTAAATAAAATAAAATTTATTAAATAAAAAATATACTTTTTAGGCATTGTTTGTGCAAAAAAAAAAAAAATTGATTTGGGCCAAAAATAAATGAAAAGACCTTTTTTTCTTCCTTCCCCCTTAAAATTGGAATTTTTTTTTTTTTTTTTTCTTAAATCCATCCTACCTTCTTCAAATTATAATCTCGATCCTACTTTTTTAATAATTTGCAAAGATATTATTTGCCAATTGGAAGATATTTTGTTGCAATTGAGATATATGAATGTAGTGATAATTTATATATGAGAAAATGACTGTTCATTATATAAGATGAAAAATATAATATTTAGGGGAAAAAAAAATTTTAAAAATATAATTTTAATAATTTTTTTTCTTTTTAGAGAGCGAAATTGGAGATTGATGGAGTGTCTGTTTTTTAAGAACGAAAGTTGCTAAAGTGGTTATTGGAATTGTTGATCTAGCACTTGAAAATAATAAAGTGACAATTTTAACCAAGGGGTTCAAGTTTCAGAAGAGACAAGTATATGTGAGTACCAACTAAAAAAAAAAAAAAAGAAGAAGAAGGTGACAATTTTGGAGAGTCAATTTGAATAAGCTGGTGCGGATGCTGCGTGAGGCTTGCACCAATTCTTTTGGCTTGCTAAAGAGCCCCTGTCTAGCCAAAAAAATCCCTCATTCCAAATGGCTTTAATGATCCAAGAATTTATGATAATAATACTACTACTACGATATTATTATTATTATTATTTTAAGTATGTGCCACTTTTCGAATTTTATTCTTGGAATTACAATAACTATATATATGAAAATGTTACAAGGGTACTTACCCCAAATATATATATATATATATATATATATATATAAAAGAAAGATTTTTGAAAGGCTAAACTGCTAGGCCTGCCCATGAACAGGAACTTCAAGAGAAAAGCAAAGAAAAGCAATAACAAATGAAAATACCACTTTTTATTTATTTAATTAATTAATTAATTAATTAAATTTATTTATTTATTTATTTTTTCAGCTTCTTTATTCTTGCTACCTTAATTTCGTGAGGTTGTGCCCTTAATGCCCAACATATGTTCTCTCACAATCTCTTGATGGACCTTTCTCCTACGACTCATGTCTACCAACCTTGGATGTATTGATTTTGTTTTCAAGTTAATATCGTATGCGAGATCGTAATTGCAGCAGCCTTTAACAACTTTCATATAGTTAAAACTGTAGCTTCTACATCTTATCAAAGAATTAGATCCTCGCCTCTTTTTTCTTTTTGCCCCTATTTATTTTGAGCATTTAAATCAATAATTAAACAATTTTAAATTGTTAATGCAACAACAATGTAAAAAAATGCCAAATTATTAATTTAAAGGTATTGCAGTGTTATTGTAGTACAATATAATATGTTGCATAGTAGGCATTATATTTTTTAGCAATTCAAATTTTCTTTAAGGCATCCAGTGCCTCTTCACTTCGGCTCTCAAGTTAATGGCTTGATGTATGGCCCAGCGATGCCCCAAGAATTGTGTAGAGCCTATCAGAGCATCCGCAGCGGACTTTGAAAGCCTATTTATGCGAGCCAAATGGCCCAAATGCACCCCAACGGTCTGGCACTAATTGGGCGAGCCCACATGGGCTTGCAGACTAACTCGCAAAATACCGTAAGTCAGAGTTCATCGGAATATATTTAATTTTTTGTTTTCCTTTGCCAAAACAATGTCGTTTTGGGCGAAGCATTTTTTTTTCCTTTTTAAGTTCTGCGAAGGTCAGGAACAATGCTTAAGGCACTGTTTGCAGCATGGTTTAAAAAAAAAAAAAAAAAATTCAAAAATAAGTTATTTTGAGCTCTTTTTTTAAAATAAAATAAAATTTATTAAATAAAAAATATACTTTTTAGGCATTGTTTGTCCAAAAAAAAATGATTTGGGCCAAAAATAAATTAAAAGACCTTTTTTTTTCTTCCTTTTCCCCACTTAAAATTGGATTTTTTTTTTTTTCTTAAATCAATCCTACCTTTTTCAAATTATAATCTCGATCCTACTTTTTTAATAATTTGCAAAGATATTATTTGCCAATTGGAAGATATTTTGTTGCAATGATATATGAATGTAGTGATGATTTTTATATGAGAAAATGAGTGTTCATTATATAAGATGAAAAATATAGTCTTTAGGGAAAAAAAAAAAAAATTTAAATATAATTTTAATAATTTTTTTTTTTTTTTTTTTTTAGAGAGTGAAAATTTGGAGATTGATGGAGTGTCTAATTTTTAAGAACGAAAGTTGCTAAAGTGGTTATTAGAATTGTTGATATAGCTCCTGAAAATAATAAAGTTATAATTTTAACTAACGAGTTAGTAGGCTAGCGGTATCAGTCTCTTACTTTCCAAAAGAAGATTAGGGGTTCAAGTTTCAGAAGAGATAAGTGTACGTGAGTACACAAAAAAAAAAAAAAAAAAAAAAAAAAAAAAAAAAAAAGAAGAAGAAGAAGAAGAAGAAGAAGAAGGTGACAATTTTGGAGAGTCAATTTGAATAAGCTGGTGCGGATGCTGCGTGAGGCTCGCACCAATTCCTTTGGCTTGCTAAAGAGCCCCTGTCTAGCCAAAAAAAATCCATCATTCCAGATGGCTTTAATGATCCACGAACAATTTATGATAATAATACTACTACTACGATGATGATATTATTATTATTATTATTATTATTTTAAGTACGTGCCACTTTTCGAATTTTATTCTTGGAATTACAATAACTATATATATGAAAATGTTAAAAGGGTACTTACCCCAAAATATATATATATATATATAAATAAATAAAAGAAAGATTTTTGAAAGGCTAAACTGCTAGGCCTGCCCATGAACAGGAACTTCAAGAGAAAAGCAAAGCAAAGCAATAACAAAGGAAAATACCACTTTTTATTTAATTAATTAATTAATTTATTTATTTTTTCAGCTTCTTTATTCTTGCTACCTTCATTTCGTGAGGTTGTGCCCTTAATGCCCAACATATGTTCTCTCACAATCTCTTGATGGACCATTCTCTTGCGACTCGTGTCTACCAACCTTGGATGTATTGATTTTATTTTCAAGTTAATATCGTATGCGAGATCGTAATTGCAGCAGCCTTTAACAACTTTCATATAGTCAAAACTGTAGCTTCTACATCTTATCCAAGAATTGGATGCTCGCCTCTTTTTTCTTTTTGTCCCTATTTATTTTGAGCATTTAAATCAATAATTAAACAATTTTAAATTGTTAATGCAACAACAATGTAAAAAAATGCCGAATTATTAATTAAATTATTAATTTAAAGGTATTGCAGTGTTATTATGGTACAATATAATATGTTGCATAGTAGGCGTTATATTTTTTATGCAAATACTGCATATACAATATAACATATCATATTGTGATGTAATTGTTAGAGTTGTGGCTCAAATTAAGATGAAAAATCTCATTATGAAAAGGTTAAACCGGTTCAATCTTAATGAAATTGGTTAAACTTTAAACTCAACAGGTTGAACTTTAAAGTTCAAGCCCAATTATGAAATATGCATAATGGTGTTCTTGTAATTTGTAAAACGTGCAGGGCTATCTGAGTACTTTTACGGTTAAAGGGATCTGCAATGAGCCTTCCCGCCAAAAGCTAGCCCCATTTTGACTCTTCTTCGACGCATTTTCACCAGTAGTTCGCCTGTCGTTTACTTCTTCTACGAAGCATAGCAAAAGGGTTTTAACGATGGTAATTCAATCTCCAAATTCTGATTTATATCTATACGAACTTGTATATCAATTGATTATCATCTCGTCGATATATGTTGTGTATCAGTTTCGATTGATATGTTTACAAGTCGTTCTAGTTAGATTCATAACAAATAATTAGGGTTTCTGGTGCTATAGTTCTGAAACTCCTTCTGAATCCGTCGTTTTACAAATTGATACCATCAGGTTATTATCCCTAAACTTTGATTATGAGATGTACAATTCACTTGTATGTCTTCTCTCTCTCTCTCTCTCTCTCTCTCTCTCTCTCTATATATATATATATGCATGTATATTAGATTCTTATCGATACAATTCAGATTATGATAAATAGAACTCACATAATTTGATCTCTCTCTTCTTAGCATGAATTTTAACAAAAAATTATCAAAGAAAAATATATTTAAGTTGTAATTGATGTTTGAGGCAGTTCATTGTTTGTAACGATTCTTGTTGTTCCTATAGCTGAAAATTTTGAGTTGAAATTGGAATTAACAATAATAAAGTTGGGATAATGTATATGGGAGTTTTCATGACTATAGTCGAATGACTTGCTTCATTTTAGTCGCATGGTAGATTGGATGTTTGACAAAAGTACTGAATTAGCTGCAGAAATGACTATCCTCTACGAGTAATGCTCTTGATAGAACTTTCCAGGTTGGATTTACTTTTCTGATATTCTCTCAGGATGAAAAATGAGAAAATAAGATTGAGCTCTAACTATGTTTGAAGTGGAATATGTTGAACTGGGATATCTACCTGAGTGTCTGTGGAAATGTTTCAGCCTCATAATAGTTCTGTTGTATCTTCATCATTTAATGATATTGTTTTTGTGCTTCTCCAATTTTTGTGTCATATCTGCATATGGCTTTTAGATATTACAGTATTGATCATTGCATATTTGCCTAAGAATCTAACTTCTACTTCTTCATTGATGGCATAGTCTAAGAAAAGAGGTCTTTCCTTGGAAGAGAAGCGTGAGAGGATTCTCCAAATCTTTTATGATTCACAAGATTTCTTCCTTGTGAGTATTGTACACCTGTGATCATTTTACGTGAAAGGATTACACTAATTACTGCAGATGGAGCTGTTTGAATTGTAATTAACAGGACTGTTTTTGATATGCAAGCTTCACTTATTCCGATTTCTATAACAATGTAAATGCATATTTCTAATTCTGATTTTGTTCATTTGCATTTTTGGCTATTTTTGGTGGAGTTTCCTAATTCTTTTAAAGGGTATAGCATTAGTGTGAGGCAGAAATAATTCTATAGGTCTTAGTTGCTTCCTAGTGCATCAATTACTGGTTTCCAAATGCAAGAAATGTAATTTCTGTTTGTTACTTCAGATGTTTATTGTTATGTTTTCAGCAAGAGATATTATTAGATGATAAGTTTGGAATTTTCTTCTTTCATGTTGGATTCCTCAATTGAGATACCACAAAAAATACAAATACAAAGTTTGGATGAAAAAAATAATTTATGAGTCTTTTATTCGGTCCTGTTATATTTTTATGCATATTTATTACCGCATGCTAATTAGGTGTTGAGCAGAGGGATTATGGTCTAGGGAAGGGGGCTTGATCATTTAACTACAAAAAGTGATTGAAAAAGTATATTATCATTTGAATGTTTTGGACTACTGCTGATTCAGTGGATTGTGGCACATGCAATGCACATTGGGGTCATTTTCAAAATTTTATTGGCATGTTTGCATTTTGTTTCTTTGGTGAATTCATTTTGAGAATAAAGTAAAACTGTGCCCTCCCTCCATAATACCATACTATAGAATATAATTTACTAGGAACAATTTTCTGAAGAGGCACAATAGGATGTCTTTTTTTATTTTTTTTATTAGTGTTCTGACAGAAAATCTTTCTTCTTCTTTTTTCAGCAAGTATTTTATTTCTGTTTAGATAAAAGCTCAATAAACATTAAATCAAAGGGATTTCTGTTCGCTATAGGTTTTAGACAGAAAATCTTGCTGGTTTTCCTTTTGGCACTACTTTGAGTTTAATACAAGGGTACAAAGTTAATTTTTATTGTTCATGTCCCGAGTGTCTTGGTATTTAAGGTTGAGCTGAAGGTCTGATGCATCTTGATCACCAATAGGTAAGAATATTTTTCTAATAAAATAATATATATATTTCCTTCATGGTGCCTTTATTATGCTAAATACCGTGCTTGGGCATGTTCTTCAGGTCCTTTTCCAAGTTTGAACTTGGTTTATAACTTTTACAACGAAATCATTGTAACATTTGTTCATTTTGTCCATGAATTTCAGCTCAAGGAACTTGAGAAGTCGGGCCCCAAGAAAGGGGTTATCACACAGTCTGTAAAAGATGTTGTGCAAAGTCTAGTGGATGACGACCTTGTTTCGAAAGACAAGATAGGAACTTCTGTGAGTAATTATGTCCAGATGGAGTAAAAAAGAAACTCGATTTCTTTTTTGGGCTTTGAAGCTGAGCATGGATTTTTATTTTATTTTTCATGCACATGAATTTTATGGACTCTTGTTCGAACAACTGTACAAGCTATGTTGAAGTTTCTCCATACCATTATATCTAGAATTTCATAATGCTGGATTTTTTTTTTTTTTTTTTTTTGAAATATCAGGTATACTTTTGGAGTCTGCCTAGCTGTGCTGGAAATCAGGTAAACTGAGGTGGTTTAGCTTGAATTCGTCATTACTCTCATGCTTATGCTATAAAAAGGGACCATATTTTCATCTTTTAACTAAGTTGATAAGTATTTGATGTTTAATAGCTGAGGAATGTGTCTCGGAAACTCGAATCTGATCTCCAAAGCAGCAAGAAGCGATTTGCTGAACTTGTTGAACAGTGTGATGCCTTAAAGAATGGACGAGAGGAATCTGTATGTACACAAATTCCATATCTTCCTGTACTTTGGATTAAATTTTACAATGTAAGAATGAACTGTTTTTTCCTTCTCTTTTTAATTATTGCTTTTACCAGGATGAACGAGAGGAAGCCTTAGGTGAGCTAAAAGCTATTGAACAGAAGTATAATGATTTAAAGGTGGGGTCATATCTTATTCTTTTGCCATGCATTAACACTGGAATTTTCTTTCATGCTTGTGACTAGCCCATTATCTGATTTTCAGGATGAGATGAGCCAGTATGCAGACAATGATCCTGCTGCGTTTGAAGCAATGAGTTAAGGAATGCTTATACTTCCAATTGATGCTTTAACTGTATTATTGTGTGCAACTTCCCCTATTTTCTATGAGAACTGAATTTAAGAACCCAAGAGTTCTGAAATTTTATGAGTATTAAGTCATACTGATCTTTTGATATAATTTTTTTGCAGAAAAAGCTATTGAAGTTGCCCATGCAGCTGCGAACAGATGGACAGGTTTTATCTCTAAGACATCTCATTTTCTCTTCCCTTTGGGTTGATAAGAACGGTGAAATATTGTAGAATTCTTTGTTTTCCTGACTATTATATATACACTTGACAGACAACATTTTCACGCTGCGCCAATGGTGTTCAAACAATTTTCCCCAGGCCAAAGAGCAGCTTGAGAACATGTACAAGGAGGTATTTTCCTTATTTCTTCAATCTCAGATGCATATCCTTGCAAACTCCATCACCATTCCTTCTCCCACTAACAATGCAAGTGTAGGGTCCTTTCATTATTGCACTGTCATTCGGTAATCTATGAAAGGAGATTACTACTCTGATTCGTACAAACATTCATTGGGGTTATGCACTGGAAGTCCTGTTGGCAGTTGTAACTTGTTTGTTTCAATTTCACCAAGAAAATTGTCAAATGTAGGCTCAAGAGCATATTAGAAATAAGAGGTTCTGCATATTTTTTTCTTCAAATTTTCTATGAACCTGTTGCCAATCAGAGGCCTCAGAAGTACATAAGAATCTTTTTTGTTGATTTGCTATATGAGTTCCAAAAAGCACAGCTGCATTGCTACAAAGCTTGATTCTGTTTTCTTATTTCTACCTAATTCTTAACCTTTATATGTACTGCAGGTTGGAATAACAGATGATTTTGACTATTTGGAGTTGCCAGTACTTCCACTTGGTGACCAGGTGCAGGACGGCAATTCTTAAGTATTGTAGTTTAGCTTTACTTTATACTACAAAACCCTGTATTGCCACCAAAATATAAGATTTACATGTGCTGTCATTGAGACTGCTTGAGTGGTGTCCTTACTTGCACAGTTATGAAAGGATAATGAGCCTAAACATAAGGTCATTTGACACTCAATTAAATACATCTGGTGATAGGAGTGATATTTGTAATTTTAAGAGCCAATGTACCGCATCAATGATGCTACTCAGTTGGGACTGGCATCCCCGAAACCTGTAAACATCTAAATTCTCAACCAGTCTCTCCCAAAGCCATAACATGTCAATCCCGTTGAAGGTAGTATCTAGAAACTTCACCACCGGAGGGACAGCATGTGATACTCCCGGATTTTCAAATGCGGGTTGGCCAGACCCACGCCCGAATACCCGAGGATATCAAAACAAATTGATAATAAACGAACATAGAGTACAAAAGAATAAAGAAGAATAAATAAAATGCTGACAAGAAACTAAAATGATAATTTAATAATAAACTTCAGAATATATTTTTATTGATTAATAAACTCTTCTGATACAACTGATCCTCCAAAATACAACTTGGGAATCCATACTGTGTAGATCCCCAAAAAATCCAAACAAAACAAATGATATCAATAACTGTCTAAATTAGAAAACTGAATCATAAAGGAACTCTTATGTAGCATCGGAAGAATGAAGTAGACTGATCCCCGCTCAGCACAAACAACCTCTACTCCTGACAAATACCTAAAAACTAATGGTCGGTCAGGCCCACAAACAAGTTCTACTCTACTATAGTCCAAGCGGAGATCCGATACATGTATACATCCTAATCAATCCAACAGTAACTAGTAGTCCGTATATATATATACACACTAAAGGAACCTCACTAGACTATAGGGTTGTCTCAACCTGAATAGTAGGCAACATGCAAAACCCACATATAGTGGGCATGAGTAGCTAGACCTACTAGGGTACACAACTACACTATATCTAGTTACACATCCCTGGCGATATACGCACCCTAACTACTGATCCTAAGACTCAAGCTCATATCATAGCACCATACTTATATATATATAATCTAGTAACCATCCTATTCAGTATAAATTAATCCTCCATAAGTCATTCAATTTGTTCAGCTGACCTGACTTGAATATAAGTAGGACTTAACATTTTAGTTAATCCATTCCCTTATTTAATAAATTAATCCTCCATAAGTCATTCAACTTGTTCAGCTGACCTGACTTGAATATAAGTAGGACTTAACATTTTAGTTAATCCATTCCCTTATATAATAAGTTAATCCTTAATAAGTCATTCAACTTGTTCAGCTGACCTGATTTGAATATAAGTAGGACTTAACATTTTAGTTAATCCATTTCCTTATATAAAATAGGTAGGACTTAACTGATAAGTTAATCCGTCCCAAGAATGCCACCGTCCCATACCGGTGCATTAAATCACACAATCCAACAATTGATGTAACGATTAAGGAAATATATCAAACAATCCAGAAATAACTATGATAATATGATATCAAGTTATCACAAAATAGGAATGACTTATTATTTATTTAAGTTTCTTATATCCTATATCCTACATAAATTGAATCTTATACATATTATGATATTTTATTATACCGTCAAATAGGCATTCTCCATATCCAATTCATCCTACACATCTAATCTCAATTGCTAAAACATATTAAAAGATTAAATCCATTTGTTTGTTTAAAACATTAAAATAGCAAGCATCATTATGATTGAATCTATTTAAATTTATTTAAACCCAAACCTAGTTCCTATTTAATGTTCAGGAATTCTAGGCATGTTTCTACGTTCCATCATTCCACAGATATGAAAAATACATAATTTAAACATGTAAAAATTCACATCGGAAATCAAATCAAAATCATGCATTTATCAATTCATAACACAATAACATATATGAACTAATTTCATAAAACCTATGTTCTAATCCAATTAAATATGCATAATTATTTAATTTTATGTGTTTAATAAATCTTGGAATTTCCTAGGTATGTACAGAAACACGAATCAAAGGGAAATAGATAGAAGAAGAACTTGCCTTAAACTTTCGGATCGAAAGTCAAACTTCTTCTTCCTTGATCTTATCTCTACAGGATTTTTCTCCTCATTCCTTCCTTTTCCTCCTTCCCTCTTTAACTCTCTCTCTAGAATATATCACGTGAATATTTCTAACCCACTTTTTCAACCTATAGCTATATATTTATTGGCTAAATAAAATAACCCTAACCCTTTTCCTAATCCAAGTTAACTTAAAAAAATAAATATTAAAATATTAAAAAGATAAGTAAAATATGTTACGCATATAATTTATGTATATCTTTATTAAATAAATAAATTATACACATCCCATTATTTATTGATGGATTATCCAATAATACTTAAGTTATTATAATATTATAAAGTAACTTAAAATATAACACGTATCAAATCTATGTATATTTTTATTATTTAAATATAAAATATATACATCAGATTGAATATTACTATTCAAGTTACCATAAAAGTAATTAATAAATTACTTTCCCTTTTATATATATTAAAAAGGTAAGTAAAATATGTTATGTATATAATTTATGTATATCTTTATTAAATAAATAAATTATACACATTCCATTATTTATTAATAGATTATCCAATAATACTTAAGTAACCATGATATTATAAAGTAACTTAAAATATAACACGTATCAAATCTATGTATATTTTTATTATTTAAATATAAAGCATATACATCAGATTAAATATTACTACCCAAGTTACCATAAAAGTAATTAATAGATTACTTTCCCTTTTATATATATATATATAATATATCTATATATATATACATGCATAACTATTCATGAGTAATAATCCATACACATCCAACCTCCTATCCAAGTAATCCATGGGACCCAATTAGTTGGCCCATGACTACTAACCATAACCATAAAAGAAAAATAAAAGAAAAGAAAATATTTAATTTACAATTAATCAAAACACCATTTAAATACATAATCTAATTAAACAATTAACACATAGACAAATACAAATAATAGATAGACACATAATCAAATAATCAAGTAATACCTAATTTAATTAAACACATAAGCAATTAGTCAAATAATCAATTAAATAATTAAATTAAATAATTAAAAATACAATTAAAACAAATAAATAAATACCGAGACTATCCTTTTAAAATTAGGGGTATTACATTCTTCCCCCTTAACAAAAGGAATTTCGTCCTCGGAATTCGTCCTTACTTTCTTCCATTATGCTTGGAAACTGTGAGCGAAAAATATCCTCCTATTTTCAAGTAGACGTAACCTCACTATGAGGGCTCCACTTAACTCCAATATACCAAGTGGTATACAGGGTTTCTATATTTTAAGAAACACAATAATCATACAATGCATAGGTTGTATCAAACAATAACGTAATCCTCCCATGTCGACAATAGAATGATCTACATACCTCCAAGTGCCATAGAATATTCGCACAAACTCCTATGCACCTAGCGCTAATAATTTGGTAGCGCTAATTCAGAGGCGACTGCCTCAATTGTGAAACACAATCCTCTAAAAGTTAATGTCATAAGTAAAATTGACCTTTCTCCAAAAATTGTCTTTCTTCCTACATGGAAAACAGAACGAGCAAACTACTCCCTGATAGAAAAACTCTAGTATACGAGTTCAACTATTTACAACATCCCACTGTCGCCTCCTAATCGCGCGCAGTTAAATACAAAGGGAAGTATCTCTTTCCGACATATTTTTAAATGAAGTCGAGATTTGATTGTACAAACCTTACTTCCATTTCTAACCAACAAATGAGAGGTATGCATTGTGAAAGATACAAAACCTCCAAAGTTGTCACACTAACCTCTTTGTGCCAACAATATCACAGGTAAAATTCCGACAAGTGAAGTAAACACTTCTAACTGTCCATGAAAATCTAGGATATACGCCTCAAACATATCCTTTATAGTCTAATTTAATCTCTCGATTAATTCCTCCGTCTATATATATGAAGTAGAGCTGCTGCTCCAAAATCTTCATAAAGCTCATTCGAAATAACACTTTGCATCCACTAATATAGACATCCACATGCTATAATGCCACTATCACTGAACTATAGAAATATTATGAAGTTCTAAAATAAGCATCACTCAAATTTATGTCTTCAAGCGATCTTTCTCAATCCACCACTCAGATTCCATATGGAAAATTGAAATTCCAAATCAATGTCGATCATTCCTACCGACCATCACTCCTATTTAATTCAACTTCCATATTTGTTATAGGAAGTGGTTAAAGATTACTATGATCTCTGATGATCAACTTTCCACCTTTTTAATAGGTTTTACACTTAGGGCAATTATATACACGTCCCTATCCGTACCTGTTCACCAAAATCGACATTTGATGTCGTGATGTACCTTCAAACCGTTTGGGTGTACCAAGAAAAATTATAAATTTCCATTTCAGTCGCCTGACCGTTATATCACTATTTACAGAAACTACTAAATCCTCCTCGAGTACCTTAAACTCCATCTGAGTAAGGTAATACCGTCTCCAAGGTCAGCTCTAATATTCAAAATTAACATTCTCAACTATCGTAGTAATAACAAGTGTTACTATTACACTTACTATAAATGCATCTAATAACTCAACAACTAACTGAAAGATTTAAATATTCTATCATTTGTTGAGAGCATCCATTTACATCATTGCTTCCACCAGACGAAACTTGATATAAAGTGTGAATCACCACTGTAATCTATTTAAACCGTCTCGTGATACATTATATTCGTATGAACTGAAGTCCTACCAGTTCGAAATAGACAAGAATCAAGCTGACCTAATGTATCAGTCAACCAATATCCCATCCAGAATCCTGACCCTTGTGTTAAATCAGAAATCCCGCAACTAAATCCGATATATGCTCTCTCATTTCCACTTTAGTATAGGAAATGGCTACAAAGGATCTAGTGATCTTTGATGGTCAATCTCTACTATCTAATAAATATTAGGCTTGGAGTTAAATCACTATGTCACTTCTCCTGCCTATCGTGAAGCATCATGTTTCCACCAGAATGAAGAACTAAAAGTTGTGAAACTCAGTCCGTGCATCCTCCATCCAATTTGTTTATAGAAAGTA